GTGCAAAGTTTAAGCCTGGAAGCCCCGGAAACCCGAGCAAATTCCCAGCAACTTTCGGCTTCCTTTTAACTCACGGGCGCTCGCGCCTGGCCCCGAGCCGCGCGGCGGAGGGGAAGCCCGGCGGGCGGGCGGGCTGCTTGGAGAAGGCGACCTGGCGGTGCTCCGGCAGCAGCAACAGGAAGTTCCGCCCGGGCTCCGCTCAGGTGTCCGGCTGGGGCTGTCAGGAGTTGCTACCGCCGGCGCAGCTCCGCGCGGCTCCAGTCCCGCGTTGCCTTGGGAAGGAAAAGGCAAAACCAGGAGCCGCTGAGCCTGAGCCTCCGGTGCCACTGCTGCCGTTGCAAAGCACCGCCGCGGCTCTTCCTTTTTGCCTTTCCCTTCCCGAGGCAACGCGGGACTGGAGCCACACGGAGCCGCGCCGGCGGTAGCAACTCCTGACTCAGGGGGCCTCCGAGGGGAGGGGAAGGAGGAGAAGAGGGGGGGGGAAAGGGTGGGGGGGGGCGATTCCCAAAATATCTTGTGCTGACCCGGCCTGTCTGTCAAATTTTAAAAGTCAATGCGGCCCCCGAGCCAAAAAGTTTGCCCACCCCTGGTCTAGATCCTCCTTCGGGATCAACGAGATTAAGGCTCCCCTCCACGAGTCCGGCATCCTAGCTGCTAAGAGTACCTCATTAAATACTTCCAACATCAGTGGTCCAATTTGTTCTATGATTGTTTTGTAAAGTTCTACAGGTATCCCATCTGGTCCTGGCGATTTGTTGTTGCTTTGCTTCTCTATTGCTAACTTCAATTCGGACCATGTAATATTTTTGTTTAATAGTTCTATCTCTTCCTCTCCAATTGCTTTATCGTTCGCTTCCTCTAGGTATTTCCTTATTTTATCCTCACTAACTTCTTCCTTTTTATATAATTTCCCGAAGTATTTATGGGTGATCTCTTTTTTCTTCTCTATCTCATCTTGCAAGTTGCCCCTCTCGTCCATTAATTGGTGTATCCATTTTTTTTCCTTCGTTTTTTTGAGTTTGTGGGCTAACCATCTCCCTGGCTTCTTTGCATGTCAAAATAGATTTGTTTAGACATTTTCAGACTTATTTTATTAGAACCGAATAAAAAAAATATATCTAAATTCTACAAACACTTATTGGAAACGGAACTAGAACAAGAGATTGTCAAAGGAAATATGATTGCATGGAGCAGAAACGTGGGACGGAGTATCACCCTAGCAGAATGGGAAAGGATCTGGAATAGGAACATTAAGATCACGAAATCAGCAGCTTATAAAGAAAACTCATACAAAATGTTTTATAGATGGCACCTGTCCCCTTCAAGATTGGCGAAAATGCACCCCAACACGAGTCCCAAATGTTGGAAATGTCAAAACATAGAAGGTACCTTCTTCCATATGTGGTGGTCATGCAAAGAAACACAGAAACATTGGAAAAAAATTAGGCATTGGCTAGAGGAGATTACTAAGGAACAAATTGAGTACAAACCAGAGTCCTTCCTTCTAGGAATTTTTGATAAACAAGTATCCAAAAAATCGAAGTATATTATAATTCATATCCTAACCGCGGCCAGACTGGTGTTCGCTCAGTGCTGGAAATCACCTTCTATCCCCACTGAACAAATGATCATTCAGAAAATTTTAGAATGCACCGAAATGGACAAACTAACCCAATCATTAAAAAATAAAGAATCCTCAACCTATTATAACAATTGGAATCCTTGGTACATTTGGCTAAATCAAAGATAGACTATTTTGAGAAAAACTGTAGCCAAGGGCTACCTAAGCAGAGTTAATGAAAAGTACCGCTGACGATATACTTGAAGAAGAAAGGATCTGGAAACTTCTGGTTGCAAGGCTTCGGCGGCAGCAGGAATCCGTTTCTCTGCGGGTCCCTGCTGCGCTCGCCGCTGAGGTACCCCCGATCCAACTGGATTTGGGGGTTGTCGCTGCCCCGAAGAGGCAGCGGAAGACAGAGGAGATCCGGGCAGGGGTCTGGGGATATCGCACCCCCCTTCCCCAGACGGCTAGACTCCTTTTTCCTGAGGCGGTGGAGCGGCTGTCAGAAATGGCAGCCATAAAGGAATCTTCAACTGGATAAGACTGTGCAGGAGGAAGTTTTTTAGAAGGAGAAGTTTTCTTGGCTGAACCGGGACATTAAGTTACTTTTAAAACACCCTGGAAACCTGACTTGTGGATTGATAGATTTGTTTCCAAAAGATTGTTACAGCGGCGAAAGTGCTGAAGGAAAGTTCACTCCCCTTCCTTACGGAGAAAGCAAATGAGCACAGAAAAACCTGTTTCTTTAAGGTAAAAACAAGCTCTTTGTTATAAGTGGGAAGGAGAGGACTAAAAAAAATCTTTAAAAACTGACTGGAGGAGATGCTTTGAAGATTATAAGACCAACAACTAATTGCAATACGGTTTTAAAATATATTTGGGATTTTGCCCCAGGAGGAAAAGTGGCAAAGAGTAGAAGAGGAAATAATCTCTGGCTGTTTGGATTGTTTGATAACTTTGACATTTGCAAATTACTTTAAGACTAAAAACCTCTGGGTTGTTCTTAAAAATTTACAATGGCACCATCTGTGGATCAACTAAAAATGGAATATGAAAAATTAAGAGAACAAAGTGGCAAGAATTCATTGGGAGCTGTCTTCCACTTTTTAGAAATGGCAGTTTCTACATACCAGCAAATACTTGACGAAGAAGGAGAAGAAGAAGAAGAAAAGGAAGCCATTTTTAATGGACAAAAAGTTTGATTAAGAAAGAAAATAGGAAGAGAGGAAGGAAAAATGAGAATTTAAGATTCAATAAAACAACCAAGAAAAAGAAAAATAAGGTGAAAAAAAGGTACAATGTTAGAAAGCAATTGAAAAGAGAATTACAACAGAGAGGGGAAGCTAAAAAGGTGGAGGTTAGAAGAGGGGGGGGGGCAAAAGGATCAGACTGGAGAAGAAAGGGAGGGAAAAAGGGAAAAAAAGCCACGGTCTGAAACAACATATCTTTTTTATAGATAAAGGATAAAGAATAGTGTATAATTTAAGAAAGATTCTGCAAGAGTACATAAGATAGTATTGTAGTATTTGCATTTGAAATAGTCTATTGGAATACTATAAGATTTAACAAAATATTAAAATATTAAAATGTTTTATAATGATAGATTTCAATATTTAATAAAATATTAAAGAGAATGTGTAAAATGATTAATGCTTAGTTATACTATTAAATAGAATTAGAATTAGAATGGAAATTATATACTTAACTATATTATAAGTTTATTATTCTTTCCCCCCCCCAAAATGCAACATGTAGAATGTACTAAGCAGAATCAGGATAGAAATTATGTATTATTTTAAGTGTTACTTTAGGGAAAGGCGTCACACCTTAAAAGTGATTACAGGGGAAATTCTTTGCTAAAGAGAAGAGATAAATAGATGATTGGAAAAGAACGGACAAAAGATACAAACATAATGATTTTGAAATAAGATGAAATAAACAAATTATAATTAAGAGAGTGAAAAGAAGCGAGAAGTCATATAGAAAATATAGAATGGTTAATAAGATATGAATGGTATATAAGGTGAGCATGAACTTGATTTAGGTCTGTAAAAAAAGATGTAACCCGGGGCTAAGCCACTTTTCAAAAGAAGTTTTATGTTTTGTGTTTTGTGTTTTGGTTAGCTATGTTTTGATTGTGAATTAATAAAACCTTGGAGGAATAAAACTAAAGGAGAGAAATTTGGAAAAGACATGTATAAATAATAATTAAGAAGGTTTTATCTTTTTATGTCTTGTTTTATGTTCTGTATTTTGTGTGTTTATGCTTGATGGAGAATTAACAAAACCTTGATAGAAAGAAATATAATTGAATAAAAGTGAAGGGAGAAACAATGAGAAATTTGGAAAAGATATATATGTGTTTAAATGGAAATGTGATAATGTGGAACTATGCTTTAAAAAATAATGCTTTATTTGCCTTGTTAAAACTTATAAGTAATTTTTGAGAAAGGAGGTTTTATAATTTGATGTCTTATGTTTTGTTTGTTTTTAAAATCAATAAAAATTTGTTTTTTAAAAAAAAGAAGAAGAAAGGATCTTACAGACAGTCACAAAAATATGGTTTTATTTTAACTGTTTTTCCCATTCTATCCCCCCCTTCCCTTACCCTTCCCTCTCCTCCCTCATTTGCCCTTCTCTCTTTCCCTCTCGGCCTCTGCCAAGGCCTGTTTGCTTTCTCTTCTGTATATAATTTGTAGATGTGTTGTTTTTAATGGTAAAATTAATAAAGTTTTGTATAAAAAAAAAAAGAATTTTCCAGGTTTCATACATTTGTAATATGTTGGTTGGTACAGAGCGTTTTTAGAGAACTCACACAACTGGGAGCTCATATTTACTTTTCCATTGTTGGTGAAAGTTTCACAAACAACACTGGTGCTTCTTCCTTTCTGTGGATTGAGGAGATTAAACACTGATACTGCAATGAATGTCATTGACTTGAAAGGTTCATTTGTAGTTCTGAGCGCCATCTTCTGGATTATTTCAGAAGACTGTGAGAATATTCTCAGTTAAATACCCTTGTTCTCTCTGCCATCACACATTTTGTTGTTTGATATGAGTGAGAAAGGAAGAGGAAAAGCAAATAGCAGGGACATGCAGGCTGTACATCAAAGGAGTTTGTAGATTCATTGCTTCTGAGTTTTGCATACTCTTGTTCTTTCTGATTCATAAGAATAAATTATATGTTCAATGTACTGAACATTTTATGGTTATTGATTTATGTTTATTTTCAAAGCTTTTTATGTTAGGTTTTAATTGTACAGACAAATACTCATCTTGCTACAATCCATTGTATCTTGATCAGCAATTGAGTGAATTACGCAAGATGCTAATCCCCCCCCCCATAATTAGCAGTAGCCACTTTTTAAATTAGCAATATGCTGTCTTCCTTCATGTGGACAGCACCTTTAAAGAAGATTATCTCCTCCAGTCACTTGGATCAGAAGAAAGGAGTTGTCCCATTCCAGATGATGGTGGCTCCTTCCCATTTAGTTCGAATGGCCATTTCCAGAGATGGCACTCTTTTGTTGGGATCCCTGTCATCCACACAATGGTTTTCTTCCCAGTGATGAGAATGTGTGTCTGAGAAGAGAACAGCAAACATGTATGCACTCTGTTTCATGCAAAACAGACCTTGAGTTCAATTTAGCATTAATTCAGCATATAGCCATATATTGAAATTAGAAATGCATATAAGTCTCAGGCACTTTTTGAAATGTTTCTCTGAATAAAGCTCACAAAATGTAACTTTTGTGAAAGAAACGATACAAAAGAAAATGATTGAGCCCTATGTTCACAGAGCTACATTTCAGATTAGGACCATTGCCTATAGTTAATACAGTTCTGTATACTTCCAGAGTACACGAAATAGAAGACATAGGAAGGTAGATATCAGTTAAATGTTAGAAAAATAACATTCCCAGCAGTGAAACCAATTATCCAAAGATATACTGGGTTCTCTTCATGGGATATATTCAAAAAAAGGCTAAATAGGGAAAGGATGCTTTAATTTGGATTATTGCACTGATCAGAGAGTTGGACTCAATAGCCTAAATGATCTCTTCCAACTCTATGAATCACAGAATATTTTGAAATATGAAAATGCAATTGCATTTATCATTCTACATAATTAGATTGTTTGAATTTCTTCACACATTCACCTATTTATCCATCTATTTATCCACTGAATAGAGACCTTCCAAATATTTAAAAAGGGATCTAGGACTATTCCCCATGGTCAACTTGCCATGGTCAACTCACCATGGTCAACTCGCCGCTACCAACTTGTCAAGGCTAACTTATCATGGGACAATTAGCTGTGGAACAAGAGTTACACTAATATTGAAGAAATTGTAGAATAGAATCATTTAAAAAAAGAGGGACTAAATGAAATGTGAATGACAAAAAATAAAGTACTTGTTTGTAATTATTTTAAACAATTAAACCCAACTGTTGAATTGTCCTGTGGTGAATTGGTCATGGCAAATTGTTCCATGGTGAATTGGCCATGGCAATTTAGTTACAGTGAATTGTCCCATTTCATTTAAAAAGGTCCTTCCTGCCGAGTAGCTTCTCATTCTAACATAGTATTCCATACTATGATTCTCAAACCTTTACTTTTTTATTACAGCACTTCAGCACGTCACTTCTTGTATACAATAGAGAGCAGTTTTATGATATATATGATCTTTAGGTGAAGAATTAGTTCTGGTCTTTTAATGGATTATATGGCTTGAAACAATTGGAGTATTTTCCTTACCTTTACTGGCAATGCTTTTGGAATGTTCCCCAGAAACTGTATTTTTTTCAAGTTCATTCTCAGGATCTTTTAAGAGGGAGGGAGGTGCTAGATTTTTTTAAAATTTGTTTATAGTTTGGGTGATTTTCTAAGAATTTTTAGGAATACTTTTTAATCTGGGGTTCATCACTTCACAGTTAACAATTAGAAGGGGCTTTAAATCAATATCGCTTTTAAAATTTGATTTACAATGATCAGAAAAGACAGGAAAATAGATTTAAACATTACTTGTGGGAAAAAGAAAAAGAAATAAGCATCTTCCTTTAATACTTCTGTAACAAATATAAACGCCTACCTATTGTTAGATGAAGAGTTTTCTTTTGGGAGGGCTTGCCTTTATAAAAATATAAATCAAAAAGGTGTTCCATTTTCCAATCAGACAATAACAACCTGTTTAAGCTGAAGAGAATGCTGTATGTTTCATTTATGTTGCACAGCCAAATTGGCAATTTTGGTGTCTTCAACATGCTTCCAACCTGTAGTATAAAAATTGTAGTTATGCATCAAGTGAAATAAAATGCATTTGCATGCTTTTTTCTAAATTTAAAATGCAAACACTTCACTCTAAAAAGGTTAAACTGGCATAAAAGTAAAATGAGATTCGTTGTCTGTGAAAAGTGGTGATAGTTCTTTATTTCAATCACCCTGGGAACAATTCTGGATCCTTCTGAGGGTTGTCTAATTAGCCATGTCTGGGATAGTAAGCTATCATTCCCTAAGATCTTTACTTCTTCTAAAATGCTGTCAAGTGGACTGTGAAAGTTACGGCAGTCCAAGAAATGGCCTGAATTATCCAGTGAAGCTGAATGATGAAAAAGAAAAACACATGAATTATAACATTATCTTCCATGAGTTGTAGCAAATATTAAACAGAGATTTATACAAACACATGAAATATGACTTCTGGAGAATTATGACAAACTTAAGACAGATCTGCTAAAGTGGAGCCAATGACTGCAGCGAAGACCAATGAATGGGTGAGAAGACTGGTTACTTGGAACCTCTCCAGATAAAGAGAGGGTGTGCCTTCAACTCATGGTCACATGATCACAGTTTACACTTACATCACACTTACTGTTCACGCTTACATCTGGTTGGCCAGTGCCTCATGATCTTGTGATTGCCATTTGTAGTTTTCTCTGCCAGCATCCCCAGCAAGACAATGGGGAAACCAGCTGCCTGCCGAAAGGAATCCTTTTTGTCTCTGAGGTCTGACTTAGAAAGCTCCTTGCTGAAGGATTTCAGCTCTGAGTCTACTTGGATTTTGGCAAAGGAGCACTTTCAGCCAGCCCTCAGAGCAAAAGAACCTTCTGTTGAAGGATTTCAGCCCTGTGCTAGCTTGTTTTTTTTTTGGTCAGGGAGCTCTTTCAGACAGCCTCCAGAGATGAGAGGGAGCTGAAAGCTATTCAAGATTTTCACCACCATGAGTGGAGAGGCGGTAGAATAAGGCATGCAGGGTGTCTCAGTGGGGTGGAAAGACCATGGGAGGCCTGGTGTAGGCTGCATGCAAATGTCTCCACTCAGAAGCTGAAAATCTTGCTTGCACATATAATGTCCAGTATTACTATCAGTTATTGGGAGAAAGGGTTATATAGGACTTATATATTATGAGCTTCTTGTTAACCCCTGCTTGGCCCCTGTTAGAACAAATGCTAAACAAGAGCAATCTTTTATTTCACCAAGAAAGACGTTTGTTTATATTCTTCTATATGCTGGCTGTTGTTTCTTATTGTTCTCACCCTTGTTGGCTCATGATGTCTCAAAGCTATTTTGAGACCTTCTTATGGGGACTGGACTGGCTGATCAAGGGAGCAAAACACCATCAAATGCTTATCACCTGAATGCTTCCCCCCCCATACCTGTAGAGATCTGTACTGTTCTGCTTCTTCCTTGCTCCACCGTAAGTAGCCAACATCACTGCGGGAGAGAATTCCATGCAGTACTTTTTCCACACTGCCTTCAGTGTCAAGCTTTTGGCATCCATTGAATACATGTGGACTTGCCCTGCCAGTTAAAATGAGATTCAAAATTGCCTAAAGGGAGAAAGGACCAACATTATGCTTCCAAGTAGTATAAAGAATCAGGATATCTGACTATAAAGACAAAAGCCCAGTAAATTGCTGCTCATTTGCCTGGGGTCTGCTAGGCAAACCACCTTGCCTCTGAACTGCCAGCTGCAGCTGCTGGGAAAACAATCAGGAAGTCTTTTGTCTTGACTATAAACCCTGAAATCCAACCCTGCCCAGTAACTGGAAACATTAAAGTATAGTGGAATATTATTTTTTCATGTTTATGTATTTATGAAAAGTAGTCAAAGACTATACATTTCACAATTGGAGACTTACTTGTCTGCAGCTAATGTCTCCCTGTCTACATTGTAACAAGTGAGTTGTGGTGAAGTCGAGATCTTCCTGAAGCCTGTTCAGCCAAACACAAAGAAGATGCTACAGAATTGGTTTCACTTAACTCTTAATTCACTTCACTTCACTTATAGTTTGCCATCTACACAAAATCCTGTTTCAGCAATCCAATGGCAAAGCTTATAGGATGGAGAATAAACAATGTACATCACAAGGATAACATCATTGCAGTATGATATTAATCAGTATGATATCAGTATGATATTAATCAGTATGATATTAACTAAAGCATCAGACCTATCTGGGAGACCAGATCCAGCCTTGAAAGTTATTGTGTGCAAATAGATTATATGTTATCACACAGCACATTTCATTTCATTTTATATTATTAAGATCATGCCCAGCCTTTTTCTTTATATAACAGTCCAGTTTAATTTATATAGCAGAGTTATGGAATGGATAAAATAGGAAGGAAGAGAATCAAATAAACCTCCCTTTGAAGAGAGAGGCAGGGTATGGAAATAATAAGCAAAGATATAACAAACATGACACTGGAAAATTAAGGATCATTTAATTGAAAGGTTGTTTTTGAGGAGCCTTTCTTGTAAAATCACCTGCCTCTCTTGATCCTCTTTTTCTTTCCTACTTTGGTTTTGGCTTTGCAATTTGCACAGTATGTAGTTATAATTCTGTTGTTTTTATTGTGACATTGCAACCAGTGGAAAAAACATTCAGCGATTCCATACACCAAAGGTTCTTTTTCCCAAGGGAAAAAAATGGGACTGTTTGCAAACAAGGGCTATGTTGGGGCTAACCACATATATTGAAAAGGTTCTCTGTGGAACTGAAGTGGAGTCCTTGATGCTGTCCAAGCCTGGTTGTTTCCTTGCAGACATTTCATTAGCCAATTGGTATTGGGTACGTGACTGGGTAATGAAACGTTTGCAAGAAAACGTTTGCAAGCTCAGAAAGCAGCAAGGACTCCATAGTTCAGTACTGAGCTACAAGTATTCTGGGGTCCTTGGTGCTCCCTGGGCTTGCTTGTTTTCTTGCAGAAGTTTCATTATCAAAACCAGGTAATATCATCAGTGCTAGTGATTATGCTTTTAGGGATGCTCCTAAATAACACAAATCTGGCATATCCCTCTGTCCAATTGTATCCCTACCAGGGACTAGCACTGATGATCTTACCTAGTTTGGGTAACGAAACACCTGCACAAAAACAAGCAAGCTCAGAAATAACCAAGGACTCCTCATGTCAAAATGGAGCTACAAATATTCTCCTTTATTAGTTCAAATATTCCCTTCTATGAAGTTGAATCATTGTACAACCCTAGGCAGTGTTCTGACCCAACCAGGTTCCCAAAGAGCAAACACAGACAAAGGCAGCAGCCCCCACCTTTTAAGGTTTAATAACGAATTCTGTTCTGAAGGCTGCTTTCCACTAATTAGCTCCGACAAGAAAGAGCCTTGCCAAGTTGTTTGTCAAGGCTGCCAAAAACCTAGAGATAAGAACTAATTTACAAAATTCTCCAAACATGAACTAAGATGTCCACCAGTTGAGTTTAAGAGCTTCTTTGCTGTCTGCAAAGAACACTTTTCCAAACCTGGCTTTTATCCTCTTGAGGGAGGGGCCATTACCTTGCAGCCTTACTCCTGAGTCACCTGTGCTGCTGTAATTGTTCTTTCCTCCAAGCAATCCTGCGTGCACGTGCACTTGGCACAGGCTCCTCGGGAACCTCCTCGTCACTGCTGCCAGCCCCCACAATCTCTGAAGGCAGCAGTCTACTCCCTGATGGTCCTGGCCTCAAAGTCATCGCTCTCCTCAGCCATCTGCACCTGCTGCTGGCTAACCACAACAGGCAGATATGCCTGAGCACTAATGTGCCTGCAGATATCTCACTGCTACCCTTTAGTTTAATTATTGCATTTTTAATAATAAAAAAAGAAATGCTGGAATGCTGAAAGTGGCAACCTCCAGTTTAATTTTTGTTTACCAGAATATGTCTCTAAGCCAGACAGGCAACCTTAGAAAATAAGCATGTTAGCCCAATGAATGCATTTTTTTTTAAAAAAAGAAATGTGCTTACCTGCCTAACAAAACACAAAAGTAGGGTAGGATGGCAAGAACCATTTTGAGAGGCTACAGAGGGTAGGAAAGAGACCAGCTATTTCACGAAAGACATTTGGGGAAGTGGGTAGGGCTTGCTTCAATATGCCTAAATAAAATAATATTGCTAATGTCTTCTGAGCAACTCAACTTAGCCCATGGCGTCCTAGCAATCTTTTTGACCAAAACACGATAACTTTGCAAAATGGCCAATTAATTTTGCATCATTTCATGTAATTTCTTCTTACATTTGATAATATATGGACCAACTTATTTTCTAAAACTTTCTTTACTAATGAATATAAGTAACATTTGCAGAATCTTAAGGTATACACGTTGATTGGTAAATAATTGCTTAATTTAAATCTAAGTATTTAAAAAAGGGGAAGAAAGCATTTTACCTTTCAAATGTCCTGGAGAAAAGTAAACTATATAGAAATAAGATCACTCCATGACTTCCCTCAGACTTCAGCTGATTAAAATAGATTAAAGAAAACAATGATTTTAACATTGCCCAACTTTTCTGACAATTGTAATTAGGTGTTGTTTCTTGTTTTTAATTAAAATATTATCCAAAATCAGCCTTTCCTAACCTGGTATTTTCCAGATATATTGGGATTACAACTTCTAAAATTCCTCACCAGCACAGATTTATTTATTTAAAAATTTACATGGCTGACCAATTCTACAATGGCTCTGGGTTGTACACAGAAAACAATAATTTTAAAATGCAGTTAAAATAACCCAAATGCTAGAAGAACAATCAAGTACAGTGGTCGCCAACCAGTGGTCTGTGAGAAAATTTTGGTGGTCCGCAGAGAAATGTCACCCCCAGAGCATTTAAGCAAAGCAATTAATCCAGGCTGCGCGGAAACACAAGGCTGCACCACCCACATGGTCCACGGGAACACAAGGTTTGCATCACTTGCATTGCGAACAACATGAGGTAGTGAGGGGAGGGGGAAAAGGGTGGAGGGGGGAACTTGCCCCACTCGCCCCATGCGCCTCGTATAGCCATCAGGCTGCTTCTTTTTGCTTCTTTCTTTTTCTGCTTTTGGCTGCATGAAAGAAAAGCAGCAAGTCTTTCTCTCCCCCAAACTCCACCAGAAATGAGTCTTTGGGACCCTGCAAGGCATCCTGCTCCAAGAGGCTGCACCAGCAAAGACTCATTTTTGGCCGAATTTGGGGGAGAGAAAGACTTCTGCTGCTTCTGCTGCTTTCCTTGCATGAAGCCAAAAGTCTCCCCCCCACCCCAAAATGGAGCTGGAAATGGTATCCTGCGATCCCAAATAAAGAACAATTGATCAGTAGGAAAACGGGGTGGGGAATTTTCCTGCAGACTTTTTTTTTTTTTTTTAAATTTTCCAGGATCTCTGCAGACAGAGACTGCAGGAAAATCCCCCACTTCGTTTTCCTACCGATTGATTGTTCTTTATTTGGGATCACATAATACCATCTCTCTCTCTCTCTCTCTCTCTCTCTCTCTCTCTCTCCTCTCTCCCCCTGAAAACGGAGCAGTTTAGGAATGTGGCTGCCTTGGTGGTGGTGGTGGTGGTGTGTGTGTGTGTGTGTGTGTGTGTGTGTGAGGGACCTGTGTTTGTGTGTGTGGGGGGGGAGAGAGAGAGAGAGAAAGAGAAAAAGAGAAAGAGAGAGAACATCACCACCAGCCCTCCGAGGTTAGATCAGATCTCTCTCTCTCTCTCTCTCTCTCTCTCCCTCTCCCTCTCCCTCTCCCTCTCCCTTTCCCTCTCTCTCTCTCCCACCAATGTCACCATCAGTCAAAATTTATATTAGCGATCTGCGGGACTTAAAATTATGAGTTTGGTGGTCCCTGAGGTCCAAAAGGTTGGCAACCCCTGATCAAGTAGACAGGAGCCACTATACACTCTAACCCAAGAGCTGGATAAACAGCCAGATTTTGGATGACAAGATGAAGAAAACTTCTTCATACAAAAGAAAATATGATTATTCAAAATGTATGAAAAGTTTAGCAGCTGAATAAGAATAAAATTGAATTAATTAACACTTCTGGATATGAACCAGACAGCAATCCTGTGTATGATGATTTAAGAATAAACTCTAGTAAACAGATAGTAATTGTTTAAGAGAAAAATATTGATTGGAACAGATTCAATATTGTAAATGAATTGTACACCTTCTACTTACGCAGTGTATGTGATCCAAGATAAACTGCTGCATTGTTTCTTTCTCAAAAAAGTCAAACAGTTGAACCTGCAAAAAAATATTAAGAACTACAGTATACCCATAAATTGGTTGGATTCCAGTAAGAACAAAATATTGAAAAACATTGTGAGATATAGTAATTACCTCATTCAGCATTATCACAGACAAGCATTCTTTATTCTGATTTGACTTATGTATGTCGCATATCCTAGAGTTCACCTTAGTAAAATCTGCCAGATTTTACTGGGTTAGAAAAATGTGCATGTCCCCTAAAGAGCAGCAAAGTAATACATAAAAGTTAACTCTTTCCTGGCATCTAATGGGTTGTTTGAATATTTGCATCCCACATATGGTTTCCTATTTTATCATATAGTAATAGCAATAGCACTTAGACTTATATACCACTTATAGTGCTTATATACCACTTATAGTGATCTCTAAGTGGTTTACAGAGTCAGCATATTGCCCCCAACAATCTGGGTCCTTATTTTACCCTTCCCAGAAGGATGGAAGGCTGAGTCAACCTTGAGTCTGGTGAGGGTCGAACTATTGAACTTCAGGCAGCTGGCAGTCAGCAGAAGTAGCCTGCAGTACTGCACTCTAAGTCTTCCCCAAATAACCTGTCAATATTTTAGATAGTTCTTAACATGTAGTATGTATGTATATAGGTGTGTATATATACATATACATACATACATACACATATATATGTGTATGTATATATGTTTGGACTACATATATATAGCTCATTTGGGACCAGAATTTCTATTACTGAGTAAAGTGGTTATTAAGTGAGGACATTTTTGCCATAGTGTTAAGCAAATTACTGCAGTTGTTAAGTTAATCATGTGGTTATTAAGTGAATCCAGGTTTCTCTATTGACTTTGCTTGTTGGAAATTGGCTGCAAAGATTGCAAATGGGATGTTGCAACCATTGTAAATACACGCTGGTTGCCAAGTGCCCAAATTTTGATCATGCGATTGTGGGCATGCTGCAACAGTCATAAGTGAAATGGCCAATGGTGCATCACCTTTTTCAGTGCCATTGTAAGTTTGTATGATTGCTAAACAAATGGTAATAAGTCAAGGGCCACCTGTACTTTTACTCAAATTCTTAAAATTCTGGCTTTAAATGGATGGCATTCATTCTAAGTATTTATTTTAGCTTGTGTACTTTTGAGTTTTTCTTATGTTGGGTCTAAACTCAACTAAAACATTTCTCTCTTACAGATCTTTAAAATAACTTATCTTACTTGTTCAGTAAAGTGATCCACTTCATAGTCTATATTTGCAGTAAAATAAGTATCATCTGTGATAAGGCAGATAGTTGCTCTCTGACTTTCTCCTGCTGTCCACAGAATATCAGCTAGTGCTGTTGCAAGAGTTTTTTCTTGTTCTTTGAGGCTTATTTCAGATATACTGGAAAGCCAAACAGAAAGAGGTCATAGGGAACCATGAAAGTAAATCACTAGGTTCTGAACCATTTCTTTGATTTTTATTTTCAAAAGGAATTGGACATGTAAAAAAAAACCAAAACAAAACCATGATTTAGCATGATGTTAGAATAAAATATGCAAGGCTTGGTCCCTCACCATGGCTTTTCCAAAGTGGCTGAGAAAAGGTTTCCAAAATGGTTCCTTTTATTAACTGCTGATATGTCATATATCATGGAGTAAGAAACTATAGTTTATGCCAGGATTGTCAAATTTCTGGCCTGTGGGCCGGATTCATCATACACTGGCCACGCCCACACCCACGCCCAGTTTAGCGAAGGGGAAAAAAGTCCCGATATGTCACGTGACGCTGCCATGACAATGGGAGTTTGACACCCTGGTCTATGCTCAACAAGGTAGATTCAAACCTTGGTTTCTTAAACTGGGTGATGAAACTTACCAGGATTAATGTTAAATGCAAGTAAGCCCAGTAAATGATGTGCAACCCTGTTGATTGCAATAATATTGAGAAGTGAGGAGTTGAATGCTGGGCATCTACTTTCACATATTTAGCAGAGGAAGTCAAAAGTAGGGGAAATAAGGTCTTTGGAGATGCTAAGGTGAAAAGAAATTAAGCAAAATGAAAAAGTGGCTATTCTTAGAGAGCTTGGAGTTGGTAAGAAAATCAGAAATGAAACACGTCTTGAAGAAAGGGATTTTTTCCCCAAGAGTATAAAGAGGCCAGAAATGGACCTCAGAGACAAAAAAAGGAGATAACAAGCTATGAATATAAGTAGAGACACAAATAGACAAAGAAGGGATAAAGTTGATAAGCAGAAGTTTAGCCTAGAGCAGTTTTCCCAACCATAGCAACTTAAGATATGTGAACTTCAGTTCCCACAATTCTCCTATCAACATGCTGGCTGGGAAACTTCAGAAGTTGAAGTCCAATATGTAATATTGTCAAGATTGAGAAACACTAGCCTAGAGGGATGGTTAGCAAAAAGAAGAAGTTAACCTAGACAGAGGAAGCCTGAAGTGACCAAGGATCAACATCAGTGGGGAGAAAAATACTACTCGAGAATAAGCAAGAACTAAAAGGAGGAAATCAGGGGTGAACCCAACCAACGTGAGTGAGAGCTGATGATGATAAGAGCAACAGAACACGATGATTTCTCCACCCTTCCTGCATTTGCAGAATGTTGCCCAGCAGCCCCTGTGCAGATTCATATGCATTCAGATTATCTGAGGACCTTGCGCCAGCAGATCTCAATGGTCAAGGAATTCTGGCTGTCAGGATCCAGGAGCAGAAACGTTTCTGCTGTGGCTTCTACCTTCTGGAACATCATGCCCTCCCAAAGTGAGATTTGCATCCGCCCTTCTGGCCTTCCAAATGGGATTGAAAATCTGACTCTATCAACTGGCTTGGGGCCCCAATGGGCACATGATATTCTGGAAATGGTTAGTGGACTAAGATAAGACCCCATTTCCTCCAAATGTGTATCTTGCTCCCTTCCCATCTTTGCCCATTTTAAGTCAGTTTTAGTCTTAATATTTGTTTTAATGTTTCAGTGTTATATTCTGTTGTTTTTACTGATTGTAAGCCACCTAGAGTCACATCTAGGCAAGGTGGACAGCATATAAATGTGATATATAGATAGATAGATAGATAGTTAGATAGATAGATAGATAGATAGATAGATAGATAGATAGATAGATAG